AATGAGGGTCATAACATGGCTTCTAGAAATTTTTTGGGGTGGCAAATCGTGTGTATGTGTCGAGTGCAGCCAGGCGACGGGTTAATGCACTAACGTAAGCTGCGCCGTTAACGTCATTATCAAGTACTACTTCTAATAGTTTTAGTTTAGCTGAATATTCAACGACCTTTCTCTCAACTCTTAATGGGCTTACCAGAAAATTAACTTAATCAAACTGAAAGGAAATCCTTCGGGTTTTCTCTACCTTCATGACTATATTGTTTGATGAGCATCATGCTTGGAGTCGTCCTATGTCAAATTGCCTTTTGTCCATAACGGGAGTGCGGTAGCCGCTGACATATTTCAGAATTGTGCCATCTTGACACATGCTGAAGCTTTGCCTTAAAACATTCTTTCGAAGTTATTCCTAAAGCAGAGGATCGATACAGGATTTTTATTTTACGGCCACAGCGAAAGACCTAAACGAGTGCTGCTAACGTTAACAAACTGCGAACGGTCTACGAGATGCGGTATCAACTGTGAAACCCACATGCGCATATGGTAAATAATACATTCGTTCGTATGCTATTGGTGATGCCTATTAGTTCTTCCAATAGTGCCACATATCATCGTTTAGCTTTTGGTTTCTAAGTGAGTCTCATCGACGAATTAAACGAGGACTCGAGCGTATAAAATCTTTAAAAGCCGAACCCATTGGTCGCTTACGCTTACAGTCCTCCAGGTGTTTTCTCCTCTTTTTTCTTGCAACCACCTTCTTTGCAATCTTATTGAAAACTGAAGGACCGTTTATTGGTCTGTAGCTTAATGCATGGCTCATTTTTGGACCATCCTTATAAACGAGAATGATTACACGTAATATGAATAGCTGCTCCTGCTCATTATAAAACTAATTACGTGGGTAAGACGCACGATTAGTCGTTCTTTTGAATAAAATATTAAAATATATACGCTTATAGCTCGACGGGCAGCTGGTCGAATCTGGAGTCCACATTACTATTTTGTGAAGGTGAAGTCGAATTCGAGTCTTTATCTTCAGTGATCGGATTTGGAAATCTTTGTTTTTAGCACCACTTGGGAAGGGTTTAGCTAAACAGGTTGTGCAATAGTAACTCAATGCATTTGATTGAACCGCGTGTTCGTGTTATCGGCTCAATAGAGTCAAATCTATGTTTTTTTCTAGAGAACTTATAAAATTAAGTGTGAAGTTCAGAACAAACAGAGGCTTTTGAGGTTTGCTGAAAAACATTGAGCTACACAATTTTGCGTGTCTGGACCGTGTCCCATAATTTATATTTTTAGCAGACTTCATGCTAATTACTACACAGCCTTTTTTCCTTACAGTCCCTGTTAAAATAGCTGCTAAACCCAACGGCGTGTAGTAGGCCCCTTAGTTTGGCAAGACATACTCTAATTTAGTCCCGCATCTATCTTCGGGTCGCCTTTGCCACTCTACTTTCTTCTTTTCAGTCATAGTTCTATTTCTAACCCTGAAAATCGGCGGTAGCCATTAAAATAGTCAATTATAAAGGAGCCAAACTATTATGTTTCCTCTAGAGTCTCTAAACATAGCATATATTTCGTCAGCATATTAGAACTTGGTTATTGTTACTCCCCTATATAAAAGTAAACGTCCTTAAGTTGATCCCAGCTCCTACATATCCATAGCCACCTCTTGTTCTGCAAAAACCTTTAATGAACTTTGGTTTTTGAGAGGGCTTTCGCACCCTTAAAGCGGCTTTTTAACCTGTTTCCGATGACGACAAGATGCATGTCCTCAGCGGCAATGGGGTAATCAAATTATGCCTAGACATCGCAAAAGTTTTCCATTGTCCAGTTGTTACTGTTGGCTAATATATCCTATATGAAATTTTCTGACGTTACCTGTTCATGTTTTTCAATTTATATTACAAACGGATTCGTCTAAATCAAAATCGTGAGCTTTTTTAATTCTGCGCGACACCCAAAAATAACTGGCCAAAGTACCGGCCTAAGTTCTACCTTATTTCTTCTCCTCGTCAAGAATGTCCTGTTTATAGGGAATTGAAATCCCTACATCTTGACCAATGCTTTTGCTAACGACATCACAATACAGGGTAGCAAACACTCTGTCGCCTTCATCAACTATACTGAATACCGCTCCGTGAAGTTCTCATTTGTTATTTTCATATTAGTAGCAATTCTTCTGGAGTACACTCGTTGCCCCCTTTCTGTCCCTGTTACTCTCCTCACTCCTGGTCTCCGATATCGATTTTTCCCCCAGGGACCCGATCACCAACTTCCTTCATAGGGTAGAGCTATCTTAATGGTCCATTTAAAAATCTCATTACTGAATTCATTCGGAAGTTATGTTATTAATTATCTTTTTCACGAGAGCCTTTTCCGTTATCCCTTCATTGTAACTAATAGCATACCTAAATACAACTACTGGTCCTGCCATTTATGTCTCTTTTTACTCTACTTTCGCATATATTCTCCACTTAAACCCCCTGCAATTCCACTAGTTATCGAGAAGCATAGGTACGGATTCTGTACCTGTAGCTAAATTTAGTTATTGCATCAAGCTCGAGCTGAGTTGAATTGAAATTGCTACCAAGTGGTCATCTACGGCAGCAAATAGGCACCGCAGATCAGTATAAGTACGTCTGCACTTGTTGATACTTGAGTAAGGCTTTTAAATGCATGTAAGTCTAGCATCGAACCACAACGATCCTTGCGTTCTGCTTGAACGAGAAGGATGTTACTGTCTCCAATAATGAGATATTGCGTGTTTTTGCAAGTTCCAGTTGCTTGAAAAAGACACACGTGTTGCTTTAGCTGCCTGGACTAAAACAACCAGAAGTCTCTAAGGGGGCGGGAAAACCCTTCTAAACCTAACAAATTGATTACCTAGGTTTTAATATTTGTGCTATTTGCGCGTCACGTTAGATATAATACACCGCTAAGGCGGGGCAAGCGCGTCTGAGCTGTTTGCCTCTTAGTTTATTAATAACACTATATAACTACTATTATCAGTGTTATTGATTACAATACATCGGCTTATCGACCGATGTACGTGGCATACTGACAAGTAAAACGGATAGCAAGAAGGAAAGGTCGAAAGGCTACAAAAATATAAAAACAAACACTTTGCCTAATATTGTGTATAATAAATTCGAACAAAGTTACGAGCAAAGAGAAGGTACGTTAATAGTAGGGAAAAAACAGAAGCAGTCAGCGCATTATTCTGTGAGTTATATAGTTTAATCTATGGGATCATTTTGATTTGTGACTTCTCGCGACCCCCGAATGATATGACTATGCGTCTACAACCCAGATTATTGATTGTTTTATCGAAAAATTAATTTATCCAGTTTCGCTTTTCTAATATGCTGGATGACTAAGTTTGCCATGGATTTTATTGTAGTCTAGTGCGGTTCCATGTGGAAACCTACCTTGAGCTTCGTCACATGCTTTCTTCGCTACCGTCGTTTTGCCTCAGAGAGGCAGTTAAAGGTTCATCTAAAACACGGTGTAAATGGGGAGGTAAAATCGAATTGAACTTTAAACGGTAAACGACCGAAACAGTAGAGTGCTGCACAGAAACGTAACAGATATGACTGCATTTGTTGTATATTTTGAAGTTAAGCTTGAAATTGACTGACTGATAGCTGAATGATGACCAATTTCAAGCTAACCAATTTTGTTCGTGTGATATAAAAATGCTCTATATTTGCACTCAAGCACAAAAACGTTTTTCGTTTAAATGTAATTGCACGATCACAAAATATTCATCATAATAGTCTTGTTCCTTGTTCGTATGTTATATACTTGTTTTCAAAATAAACATAGAAAATAATATGGGCGTGTCCCTAAATGATGCCGACAAGGCGTGCTGCTGAAGAACTACGGAAAGCCTTGTTTGCCTTCCTGTTTGACAAATAATTGTTTACCAGGTTGCATACTTAAGGTGATCAGTGCTTAGAGGACGAAATTTTTGCTGAAATCGAAGTTTTTTCTATTATTTGTATATGTACGGTCATAAGCCGCACAGATCAATTTCGTGACTAATGATTTCACTTTGGTGGTGCCGTGTTTTTGGACCGGTCGTATCTGGCCGTCACGTTGTCGATGCTGATACGTTAGTAACTTTTTTTGTACGAACGAAATCAGGTTTTATCAATGCCTTTTAGATCTGCTTGGATAGGTACGATAAATGTAAGGGTGGACATTCATACGTGAAGTCGCCAATATGCTGGCGCCTCTAAAGCTGACGCAGTAGCGCCTACCTTGCAAAGTTGACGCGAAGTTCTCCAAGGTACTATGTCCTTGAACGTTGTAGTTACATTAATGTTTATTGTTCGATACGTTGGCGCGCGCACTCTTTCTAACTAAAGACCCTGTTCCCTTTTATTTGTCAGGGGCTTACTACAAAGGCTTGCCTATCCTGACTATGTTATGCCTGATCTATTGGGCACACACGCATGCTTTTACCGTTAAGTAATGAGGACTAGGGATGCCAAAGGAGTATTCATGAAAGCTGTTTGGAGGCTTGGCAGTTCGATTAAAACAGAGGAACAGATGGAACGTGCAATTCGAATCCCGCGAACGTTCGAATTGAACGTTTTTTAAGTTCAACACACTTGTGGTGCCTTGCTTTAAGAAGATGACCACATGCTACCAATGACAACTTTCTACTACTACTACTACTACTACAATTGCTCGTGTACGTTGAGCTAAACCCTGTTGCATTTTTTAGTCAATCTCAGCTCCTTTTTACTACGCAAAGATAACAATAAACCATTGTATCGCGATTACTGACTAAGCTGTCGACTAGCCGTGATGTTGGACTCTGTGATGAAATTTCATTGTCACATTGGCTCGCTGTTGTCACAAGTTTAAAATGCTTTCGATTACTGCATGCCGAAAGTGACTAACGGTCACCGTTCATTGTCGCCGCGACGGCAGGCGGAACGTTCTTCGCCCTATAAAATGTCGTCGCCATTCTGTCATAGAGTATCTTTCGTTGTTTTAAACAACTAGAAGAAGTACCTCTCGAAATATGCGCGCTTTCATCGTCTTGACTGTTGTGTACATCGCTGCTAGCCAGGCCCAGAATGAGCAGGCACAAAGTAAAATCTTCCTTATCCTTGTTTCTAGTTAATATTGCTTTTCTCTTGGGATGAAATCCCCTAGCATTCTAGGGCTTATTGCAAACGAAACCAAAGCATTTTGTGTGCTTCAAGACTATCTCTATGTAAAACTTTGAAAACGATTGTCCATCTGATTTGATTGTAGGAAGTGCCTTTGAAGGTTGTATTTACCAATTTATATTTTAAAGCGAATACGGAGGCAACCTCATGTGGGAAACGCTAATGCTGCGGGATACTCGGTATCCTTAAAGGGGTTTTTTTACATGTTGTTCTGCGGCCCCGTGTTTATGTGGCACAAGGCAAAAACATAACGTTTACTGGTAGATCCTGACAAGCTCTGTTCGATTACTTGATCCCTACTCAGTTCCCAAAATTTAATTATGAATAGGAAATATGAACAAAATGTTTAAAGGGGTATGACCTGACTGCCAATTGTGAACACTGGATAAACATAAATTTCTGTCTATTTGTGAACAAGTTTCATATTGACCGTGTTTTAATGAAGATCTCGATAGTGCTAGAGATATCGCAAACTAACTTAATAGTAAACGACTACTTTCGGTGATCCTCAGGCCCTGTATGCGTAAGGGACACGTTTCTCGCAGCTATTCAAAATGTCAGCGCTAGCTTCGACCAGGACCTACAAAAGGTGCCGAACAATCAAGAGTCTCAGTATATACGAGCGATGATGGAGAGGACTTTCAATCTTATTAGCGAGAGAGCCAATAGAACGTGAGTTGCCCAAATTTATCGTCTGATTGAGCCTAATAGTTAAATTTTTCCGTTTTGTTAGGCGATATGATGAGTTATCTCCCAGAGTTGTTTTTCCGCTTAGACATTTGCTCTTCGGCATGGTACCGGGTTTTTGGTGGTCCTCAACTGTAAATATTCCAGTTTATTTCGCACTAACTTATTAGAACTACCTTTTATCAGCATCAAAACTTATCAACAGAGACGATTATACCTCACCGTAACCAGTTAAGCAAAACTACGATGAGTTTACTTACAAACATGCTGTAACATTGTGTACTAGTAACAAACAACTTTGAAGGCTTGTGGAAATAACGCGATATGAACGAACGATTGTTGTGTGCGTGATTACGACCATACGTAAGCCTTTCCCAATGTTTTGCGAACAAATTACCATGATTCAGGCTAGTAAGCTATTATTTTCCTACTGCTTTTTTCCTTTAGGTCGACAGTGTTGGTAGGTTGCGGCGCAAACTTTTCATGCTATGCCACTGTTCTGAAGAACATGAACAGAGATGCCAGTGGCGACGCACAAAGAACGCAAAAGGCTGTACTATTGAGCGCAGAAAAACTTGGTTGTGACACCAGAGACCTCGTCCACTACAACTATCAGAAGTTATACAGGGCCTTGAGGAGTGCAGTTAAAACAGCTGCGGGATGCTTCTTTTAAAAACACCGAATTTCGAAGTGTATAATGAAACAGAAAACCTTTGACCATCGAATGTATGAGACAGTAAACAATTTCCGTGTAATGTTATCACTAAATTCCACGTTATTCATTATTATTGTTACGTTATTTCTTTAAAAAGTGGGAGTGATAATTTTTTATTGATTTTCCTCATCAGTTCATTAGCTAACTAATGCTATTTTAGATTAAGAAGCCTCGTTTATAAAACCCACGTGTTTTATACCTTACATATATATTGGTTTTTCGTTAGACGTGGCCTGGAGATGCGTTTGGCAAACCATGACCGTATGTGTTTGTTATATAGAAGAGTTTTAATAAACGGGGATGTCATATCTTGCTTGGTCATCAGCTTTATCAATATGGAAAGTATATATGAATGATTCTTTGAATACGCCGAAAGAGCTACATATAAAGGACGCGTTTATTCAACGTACCATTAGATCACGGCTTTAATTGGGAGCCCAAATCACAAGTCGTTCTCAGAGACGTCTTCTCTAAACTCATGAATTTGCGGAAAACTTTCTCATAGTGGTCGTTAACTTTATGATACCACTGCAACCCGATGTTATCTGGCTCGCGATAGCGTTTTCTCCACGATCTGCCAGCATGTTTTTGATGCGTATCCTGACATTAGACCTGTTCAATAGTTTTGCCAGCTGTAGTTCGTCGTCTTAGTTGATCCACTGCAGGTTACGATGCCTTAGGCACCCTACATAGGCCTCATTACTGCGTCGATGATGCGATATACGGTAAGGCTCTATTATGATACAAAAATTATATTACCACACATTTTTTCTGGTTAACCTATAGAACATTCTTCGCTGTTCCAGTCGATCGGAAGAGGTATCGTTAGAGACGTTTGTGCGTATCTTTATCATCCTTGCTGCTCTTTGAAAGATAAAATCTTCCGCAAAATTTGGAGAAACCAGTAGAATTTGAATATATGTTTTCATTGGTTTCGGCATTGACCGAAACCCTTCAGAGCCGATATCCTGAACAAAGCATGGTGATCGCTAGCTTGTATTTGCACTATCTGTATATTTTATTGCAGTATTGCCACAGCTTTGTATTACTGAAATGTTTCTAAAAATCATGCAAAATGCATACTTTGTGTTTTATTTTATATTGTTTACATAATAACTCTTGAACCCAAAAACGATAGCGAACACGGGGTTCGTTTAAGGCACTATAATGACCATCTTTAGAAGCGCTTACTTTGCCTTCCAGCTGTTTGTTCGCAGTGTGTAAGCGGTGCGTTTCGCATGTACGCTAATTATTCATTCTACCCTGAAATTACGTAATGAGACATAATTATGTTCGGCGACATAATTATAAGGGACGTTTCTCATATGTAATTTCGGCGTACCGAAATTACATGTGAGAAACGTCCCTTATCTGACTGTCAGTCGTGCATTACGTTTCATACAATCAACCTCTCAACAGTTTTCGTATTCGCCTATTTAAGTTAGTGCTTTCTGTGGCGTCTCACACTTAAGTTAGTGGAACCTAAGAGGGTTCCTAGCGAACCTAGCGAACCCTAGTTCCTGTGGTCTTCAGCTTTCCAATGCTAGCATGTGAATTGTAGATGTGGGTTTCAGGCGTTGCTGATCGCACAATAATTCCAGTGCATGCTCTCTGTGTGTGGTTGTTTTACTATTTTTGGCGTCATTTGGACGCCCAGATCCGATGGTCATAGTTGCTCTAGAATAGCCAAAATTAGACTTTAGATGGAACGGCTTGAAGATGGGAGAAGTTTCGGTGTAAAATATGATCCACGTAGTGTTCGGGTAGAAGTTGATGAAGTTATTACGATAACTGACCAGATTTGATACGCGAGTGGCCATGATATTTCCAAGGAACTAAATATCTACAACCAAAGGTTTCAGATAATTTTCAGTGTTTTTTTTTTGATGAAAATAATTTACTTACTCTTATTTGTTATAAACCCTGAGGAGATAGCGAAATCGAGCCATTTGTGACTATCGGTGATGATAATTAGATCGCATACTACAATAACGTGCGTCTAACAAAAAAACATTCTACAAAGCCTGTGGCAAAACCCAAATTGACGTCAAAGAAGGTAACACTATGTGTTTAGTGAAACTGAAAAGGGATTGCACATTATCAGTTGCTGCCGCCTGGAAAAAAGTTTCTACTGTCAACGACTAACAAGATTACAACAAGCCCTTGAAAAATATCGATCGGAATTAGTAAACAGAAAAGGGGTCATCTTCCACAATGATAAGGCCAGATCACGCACACGTTTAACTACCCAAAAAAAAATGCAGAGAACTTTGATGGGAAATTCTGATACATCCGTTGTATATTCCAGATCTTACACTATCAGACTATTATTAGTCTCGGTTTCTGCAGAACTTCGTCATTAGTGTTAATTAAGTTTCAATAAAGGGACGGAAAAACCACTTATCACAATTATTCGCCGAGAAGCCACAGATGTTCTTTAGTGATGAGATTAAGGTATTATCAGAAGAATGGCAGAAGGTCATTAATTAGTTTTGTAATCTTAATATATATAAAAAAAAAAAAGGTTCAATATTGGCCTAAAAACGGTCAATACATTTCCAACAACTTGATATGAAAAGTCTATTAATTTACTATTTATTCTTATATATTTTTGTATATTATCCTGGAAGCCACTGGAAGTGTTTCATCCTATCTCAGATTCTGAGTAAGTAAGTTCTAAAGTAAATGTCTGGTCTCTTTGAATGGAACATTTTGAGAGGTTTAAAGTATGACGAAATAAATCGGTATCGTAAATCGTATCTTAGATACGCAAACTGAATCCAAGTAATTACCTGTCCTACTATCGGAACTGCGTCTCATAGACAATACATAGCTATGAACAAGTTTTTCCATTCTATAGTACTGCTGTTTCTGAATACGGCCAAGACGAAACTTAAACAAGATTCCCAATAATAAATATTCCTACACACCTTTAGCATGAATGGTATCACAAAGCTACTGCTCGTTTACGTTGAGCTAAAAATCTGTTCAATTGTTTAGTCAATCATAGCCGCTTTTTCCTACGCAATAATAACAACAGACCATTGTATCGCGACTACCGACTGAGCTGTCGACTAGCCGTGATGTTGGACTCTGTGATGAAATTTCATTGTCACATTGGCTCGCTGTTGTCACAAGTTTAAAATGCTTTCGATTACTGCATGCCGAAAGTGACTAACGGTCACCGTTCATTGTCGCCGCGACGGCAGGCGGAACGTTCTTCGCCCTATAAAATGTCGTCGCCATTCTGTCATAGAGTATCTTTCGTTGTTTTCAACAAAGTACTTCTCGAAGTTTTGACTATTCTGTGCATCGCCGCCAGTCAGGCCAAAAATGATAAGATTTCAGGTAAAATCTTCCTTATCCTCGTTGCCTGGTTAATATTGCTTTTCGCTTGGGATGAAATCGCATAGCACTCAAGGGCTTATTGCAAATGACGCCAAAGCATTTTGTTTGCCTCAAGGCTATTCCTATGTAAAACTCTGAGAACGACTGAATGAAATGACTTTGAAGGTTGTGCCGGACCCATCCTTTGTGTTTTACTTGATATTTACCGATTTATACTTTAAAGCTAATACGGAGGGGATTTCAAGTGTAGCTTTCAAAGATGACCATATTTCTTGTTGGGAAACGCTAACGCTGCGGGATAGTCGTATTCCTAAAAAGGGTTTTTTGTATGTTGTTCTGTGGTCCTGTGTTTATGTGACACAAGGCAAAAACATAATATTTACTGGTAGATCCTGATAAGTTCTCTTCGATCACTTAATCCCTACTTAATTCCTAAAATTTAATTAAGAGATATGAAGTGCATCGTCTGTTGTAGAAACTAGATAAACGGTCTATTTGTGGACAAGTTTTATATTGACCGCATATTTATAATGAAGACCTCGATGATGTTTTACGCTAGAGATATGGCAAACTAACTTAATAGTAGAGGACTCGACTTTCGGCTATTCCGAAGTACTGCGCAAAATGCGCTTAAGGCAGCTGCCGATAAGGTAAGCAAGCCGACCAGGACCTGTGTAATTTCCGAAACACCAGATAGGCTCGGAATATTACACAGATTATATTGGAGACCTTCAATGCTGTCGAAAAGGAAATCAGCGAGAAATGAACTGCCCAAGTCCGATCCATATAGTTAGAACGCATATCGAATATCTTATTAATAAACATTGTTTTCCTATGGCGCTTTCATACATTCATCATCTGAGTCAACTGAACACCTGATAGTCAGATTATTCCGTTCATTTCCGAAAACTTTCCTGAGTTGTCTTCGATCTGCGCCTTCGTGTCTAGTTACTGACACGGCCGTCTCATATGTTTCGTAGTCTTCAACTATCAATCTTGCGCTTTATTTCGCAAAAACTCATTCAGGGCACCTTTTGTCAGTGGCAATCGTAAATCAAAAACGTTAACAGTAGAGTCTTTCAGACTTTATTTGATCACTGTTCATCGCAACAAATAAATTGACCTAGAAACAAGCATCCTAATATTGCACCCTAAGTAAGTAAAATTGTTTTCGCTTTTGAAAGCTAATGATGTAAATGATTGTCGTGTATGGTGTTGCTGATCATCGTTATTATCAAAGCTCTTCGTAACTTGATCAATAGTGTTTTTCGCACAAATGATGTTCCTCTTTTTTTGGGGGTAAAAATAATGTTCAGCATTCGGGCTACGCAGCGTGTCTATGCACGATTACTCAAACTTATTTTTTTTTTTTGGTTTTTGAACAGTTGCAACTCTGCGAGTCGAGCTCTATGTTCTATTCGCAAGCTCAGATTGATCTTGTCACAGCTATCCTAGGAAGGAAGTGCAAAAGGCGCACAAAAACTTAGTCCCTAACGGGAACGAACTCATTCTTAAGGATCAAGCAGGGCTTCAAGAAGGGCATAAGTCATGATGCAGGTAGAAAGGCTACGGGCTGTGGCCTGGGGCCCGCTTCTTTTAAAGGACACTTCCGAAATTTAATAATATACGAAAAATGCTATCTTAAGCTATGAAACACTAAAAAAAGGCCCCTCTAGTTAAATTTATGTGAGTCCTATTATTAGTTCCTCGTTTAAGGAGGCGTTGAGATGCCCCCGGGGGTAGTGCAGTCGGTACCCTGTCGTACGGGTTGGTATGCAGGGCGGTTCGAATAAACTGGGATGTTACATTCCGCCTGTTGTATCGATATGAAGAAATATGTACGGATGATTTTTTTACATGTACGTAAGAATGACACGAGGCAGATGTGTCTATTCGCGGCCAGGGTTTCAATATGGCTCCTAAACAGCGCATAAATCGTTTCCAGAAATCTCTTCCTTAAACTTACGAATAGCTTTTTAGCAATGACCATGAGCGTTGCGATATCGATGTGACTAGATACAGTCTGGTTCACGGTAGTGCTTCCCCTACAATCAACCATGAAGTTCCTTTCGCGTACCCTATTCTACGCCTGTTCAATTGTTTCACTATTCGTAACCCATAGTTTTGGCTACAACGAGAAGATGGTGCAATCTATTAGAGTTTCTGTCATTTTAAGGTTCCGAATGCTGACATGCGAATTGTAGGCGTCGTTTGTTAGGCGTTGTTAATTTAACAATAATTCTTATGTACGCTCTCTGTGTGCGATTTTTTTATTCATTTCCATAGGTAACACCAAATCTTTCGTGTCTGATTGCTTTCTAAATAGCTAGGAATGCACAGAACTGAGAAACCAGTTTCAGTTGCTAAATTAAAACTATATATAAAAAGGATCGAAAATCTGTCGAGTCAGCCAGTGGCTTATTTTGTGATGATTTTGCCCAGGAGGCCGCCAAAATTAGCCACTGGCTACAAATCTCTCTTCGCTAAAACCGGGACATTTTTCTAAAACCGTGGCAAAGGCATTTCAAGTGGCTGCTCGCTGCTCTTCGTAGACGTAGTTGGAGGATTCCGCATTACAATTAACGGGTTAATCTGCTGAATTATTAGTGAAAAGTTGGAATTGTCCACAGCGCCCCATGCTGAGACATGAACCATGAGGTCACCAATGTACTGCTGCCCCTACGGTTTATCAGAGAAGGGGCGTGAGGGGTCTATTCGTAAAGCTGACGTAACGTTCTTTGAGGTGTTGTGTGCTGAAAGATTACTGCTATCACTGACGTTTACTATTCGAAAATATCGGTGCATATTTCGCCGTTTTGCTAGCAAAATGGATTGAAGGTTCCATATCCCAAGTAATGTATGTCACATTGACGTCGGCGTCATTTGAAAGCCGAGATCCGTCTTTTTGAATGTCTTTATTTAGACTTTAAATGGAGCGGCTTGGAAATAGATTAAGTTTCTATTGAAATTATCTGCATTTTATAATTCTATTAGGATAAGAAATAAATCTGTGCTACTTGTTACCAAGAGTTGTTATCAGAGGAAACGGCCTAAGTATGATTGTTGTTTTCGTCCTGGGAATTCTGATGTAAAAGATGGTCCATGTGGTGCTCGACTAAGTACAGCAAAAACTGATGAAATTATCGTGATAAATGACAAGTCAGTAAGATTTAGACATCAGTAGCTATGATACTGCCAAGGGCCTAAACACCTACTATCAAAAGTTTTAAACCATAGTATTTATAGTATATTGTTTGCTTAATAATAATTCCCATCTCCGAAACCCTGCAGAGACGTAACGAAATCGAACCATTTGTAAAGCGGTCGACGATCAGTGATGAAAACTAGATCACATAACACAATAACGTGCGTCTAGCAAAAAAATGTTCTAGAAAGCCAGTGGCAAAACCCAAATTAACGTCAAAGAAAATAACCCTATGTGTTTAGTGAAACTAAAAAAAAATCGTACATTATCAGTTACTGCCGCCTGGGAAAAAGATTAATTCAAGTTTCTACTGTCAACGGCTAACAAGATTACAACGAACTATTGAAAAATATCGACCGGAACTAGTAAACAGAAGAGGGTTCATCTTCCACAATGATAAGGCCAGATCATGTACATGTTCAACTACCCAAAAAAAAATGCGGAGAACTTTGATGGGAAATTCTGATGCATCCGTTGTATATCCCAGATTTTGCACTATCAGACTATTATTAATTTCGGCTTCCGCAGAACTTCCTTATTAACGTTAATTAAGTTTCAATAAGGGGACGCAAAAACCACTTATTGCAATTTTTCGCCGCGGAACAACAGGTGCCCTATAATAACGAAATGACGACCTTACAAGAAAGAAGATCATTGATTAAAATGGCGCATACTTATCTCTGTAATATTATTTCAATATATACAACATTGGTTTAAAAATGGTCAATATTTTTCGATAATTTAATATAAAATTCTCTAATTGGAGAACCTGTCCTCTTTATTCATCGGTGTTTCTGGCGTTCATTGCAAAGCGCTTGTTTATTTGACCTAGGTTGTACCTGGTCCATTCGGTACACATGTATACCTTCACTGTTAGCTAACTCAGACCAGGGGTGTCAAAAGGGTATCACCTACTTGGACTAAGTTATCTATGGAAGTTGTTTTTGGAGCACTATAAATTCGACTTAAATAGGAAAACTGACAAAGTGTGCAATTAGAACTTCAGAAGCGTGAATGTTGGCTTCAGATCAAAGGTATTTCAAATTGTACACACCTGTGGTATTCTGCCATAGAAAGATGGCCACATGTTGGTAACGACAATTTTTCTTCGTGAATTTATTATTTTTTAGCATTCTCACGTTTCATGCTATTCTAGGTTATAAATGAACACTATGGATAAAATATCTAAATATCAATGTTTTCATCAAAAGGAGTCCCTTAGAGAGAAGAAAAGGTTTCCGGTGACCGCTTTGGTATATCAAGTTCACAAGATCCTTGAGCTAGATTGCTCACAGCCAAATAGTATGAATAGCCAAATTGGCATAAATAGCCAAATATTTCACTAAAGCAGCTTAAACTGGCTGTAGTAAAAGTTGGAACCTGTGAAATCAAAAAGTTATCTAAGAGGTGCTCAGTTATACAAACAGCTGTATAGTGTAGTTTCATGTCTACTATTAAGAGCAAATGTGTGTCATTTAAACATGCCTTAAAGACTTTGTAGTTTTACGCGGTTTTAATGTTTAAACCACAATATAGAATGCCTTACACATATATCGTATATCCCATCCTACGTGCACGGACTAGATCTATATAGCCAAGTGCTCTAGCATAGGAACTGCGTCTTACGGGTCTTACGCAGTTTTTCGAAATTTTTCCATTTTGTAGTACCGGTGTTTCGGAATACGGCCAAGACAAAGCTTAAACAAGACTTTCAACAATAAATATTCCTACACGCCATTAGCGTACATGGTGTCACGGAGCTACCGCTCATGCGCTCTAAATTAAAATCTATTCAACTGTGTAGTCGATCACAGCACCTTTCTGCTACACAAAAATAATGACAGACCACTGTGTCCCGATTACGGACTGCGTTCTCCACAATTTTTGGTCTTAAATTATATGATATACTTTGGTGGTCCTATTAATCGTCCTCTGTCAAGACTTTACTTTGCTTTTAATTACTGTATGTCGAGAGCAATGACGTCAGATGGAATTTGCTTCACCCTATAAAATGTTGTGGCCGTTTGTCTACAGAGTACCCTTCGCTGTTTCACACAACTGGCAGAATTACCTCGGTAAATATGCGCACCTTTATCGTTTTTGTTATCCTGTGCATCGCCGCCAGTCAGGCCAAAAATGATAAGACTTCAGGTAAAATCTTCCTTATCCTTGTTGCCTGGTTAATATTGCTTTTCGCTTAGGATGAAATCCCCTAGCGCTCAAGGGCTTATTGCAAATGAAGCCAAAGCATTTTGTTTGCCTCAAGGCTATTCCCATGTAAAACTCTGAGAACGGTTGAATGAAATTACTTTGAAAGTTGTGCCGGACTTATCCTTTGTGCTTTACTTGACATTTACCGATTTATACTTTAAAGCTTATATTTCAGAAACTGAATTAGCTTCCGCAGTTGAAAAACGCTAACCCTGCGGGATATTCGTATTCCTAAAGGGGTTTCCTTTTATAAGCAAGCTGTGCTTCCGTGTTTATGTAACACGAGGCAAAAACATAACGTTTATTGGTAGATCCTGATAAGTTCTGTTCGATCACTTAATCACCTATTTAGTTCTTAAAATTTAATTAAATGTTGATAGTGAACAAAATGTTTAATGGGATATGAAATGCATCGTCCTGACTGCCAGTTGTAGAAACTTGATAAACAAAAATTTGTAGTTATTTGTGTAATAATAATAATAATGAAGACTTTTATGGTACTCTACGCTAGAGGCGTGGCAAGTTAACGCAATAGTAGGGAACTGTGAAATCCAGTGCGCGAAAGACGCCATTACGGCAGCTGCCAACGAGATCAGCAAGCACGCCGACGAGGACCTAAGTAGGCTTGACATCACCGGAAAGGTTCAGAAGATAAGAAAAAATTACAAATGATTTTGTCAACGCTATAGAAACGAAAAATAATGTTGCCCAGATTCATACATTCACCACCTCGTTAAACTTAACACTTGATAGTCCGATTCCCCCGTTTGTCTAGCTGATATGATAAACAACTTCCCTGAGTTATTTTTGGTCTGCCACCCTGCGCTTAAACATTTCTTTTTCATGATCGAACTATGTTTTGGTTGTCTTTAACTCTGAATATTCCATTCTTTTTTTTTGGCACTGGCTCGCTGGGACTACATTTTATCAGTGGTAATCGAAGCACCAAAACTTATTGACTTAAATCAGCAGAAGCTTTTAGACTTTATTTGATCACTGTTCATCGTAACAAATTTACCCAAACTGCGATAGATGGACCTAGAAACAAGCATCCTAATATTGCATTCTAGTAACCAAATGATTGGTCCTTATTTTGCCTTTTAAAGCTAATGGCAATAAAGTCGTGTGAATGATTGGCGTATGTGGTGTTGCTGATCATCGTATATAAAATTAAATGTTCATTAGTTCTAGCATACAGGCTCCGTGGCGTGTCAAATAATCTATTACCTTACTTAATTTATTTATTTAGTTCTGAAAGGATAAAATCCACCGAATCGAACGCTGTGTGCTATTGCCAGGCTCTGAGGAGCCTTATCGGAATAACCGGTACGCAGATTCAACAACTGTAGGCCACAGCCCACGGCCACACCGAAAATATCCTCGATGTTGTAGGATACGTCGAACAGGACTTCAAGAATCTTCTCACGACCACGGACGAGACCATTCAAAAGGCTATGGACTGCTTTTTTTCTAAAAATTAACAACATGTAATATTTTACAATGAGACGATTAACTTTTTGCCCATCGTAATGTATATATCATGCTTTCACAATACTTCACGTTATTCATAAATATATTGTTATTTTTCAAAAAAATACAAATTGTTTTAATTCATCTTTCTTTTCCATTTGGATAGCTAAATAATGCTATTTTAAGTTACAAAGTACTAAAAAGTACCCTTTCGTTAAATTTGTGTAAGTCCTATTATTAGTTTCTCATTTAAAGCGGCGTTCAGATGCCCCTGGGGTACTGCAGTCGGTACCCTGTCGTACGGCTTGGCATGCAAGGCGGCCTTAATAAACTGAGATGTTTTATTGCGCTTGTTCGTAAGCGGTATCCATATGAGGAAACATGTGCGAATGATTTTTTTTTTACACGGGCCGAAACAACGAGACCAGGCGTGTGTGTCTATTCCCGCTTAAGGCCTCAATATGGGTCCTAAACGGCCCATAAATCGTTTTCAGGAATATCTTCCCTAAACCCACGAATAGCTTCTTAGCAGTAGCCATAGGCGTTGCGATATCGGTGCGATTGGACACAGTCTTACGATAATCCGTTCTCTACAATCGGCCGCGAGCTTTTCTCAGTGAACTCCTAATTGTAAGCCATATTTTGGCTGAGACGAGACGGTACAAGTTAGCAGAGCTTCGGACCTTATCTTTTGTCGCCTAAGGTTCTCAAATACTGACATGTCAATTGTAAATCCAGCGTGTTAAGCGTTGTTGGTCGTACGATCATTTAGATACACACTTTGTATGTGGATTGTGTCGTTAACTATTGTTATAACTTAATTACTAAATGAAAAAAAAAAGATATATTCAGTCATTTTCAGTACCAAGTTTCTCACACACGCGAATCTTGTTTCCTAGCGAAATTTTCAGTTGTCCTCTTTGACTCTTTTCGAAATTATTGAGAAAATAAGGAACTGGGAAACCAGCTTTGACTAGTACAGTAAACTTCAATAAATCTTGTCAATGGCTCGGGTCAGCCAATGGCCTCTTTTGCTGAGGTCGTGGCCTAAAACGCCGTGAAAATTTGCCTCAGTGCCACAAGCATCTTCTTGTTGATGCCGGGGCATTTTCTGCAAAAATGGTTGCTTTTCGTAAGAGTAATTGGAAAGTTCCATAATACCGTTAAGGAGTTAATCCCCTAACTTACCGCTGAACAGTTGGACCGCGCTTATATCGTTTCCCATAAAGTATCCTCATAATGGAGCCTACTGATTAAGTTTCCACATAGCTAGATGTCTAATATAGAGAAACGTTATATATGAAATACTACAAATGCTTACCAAATGACACTTATTGTTGGCTTTTTCTAACTACCCGATTTCTACAGTGTCAGACCTGATAATGGTGTCACTGGTCAGATCCGGCATGGTAATTATATAACCCAATCATTTGTTAGTAATCTTCAATGTCTAAATTAAATCCTGCGTTACATATTATGTTAACGTCTGTGGTTAGTTACCTAACTGACTTTTAATTGTTTTGTCTTTGCAGTCTTTATGTGCCGAATAAAGCATGTTACAGAAAAGATGTATAGGAATATTGGAACCCTAATAGCTTAGGACGAGATTATATATGGCCAAGACGTGTTTATATGGAGTGGTTTGCGAAAACACCGTTTGCGTTTTTGGCAGTAAATCAACGAAGCTGCGAAAAATCACAAGCATAATTTTTTCAAGCATTTTACGAAGGCTGTCCATGGTGCGTGGAATGGCCTTTAAGCATCTGCGACATGCTGTCACCTGACGTCAAGCAAGTCGGCAGCAGGATTCAACTGTTCTGCTGATCAGGGTCAAACTTACTTTAAGGATACGGTTTGGACTATTGCGAATGTCACAGGTGGCGCCACAGGCACCAGTTTTCGGCGCTTTTGTTCGGCCATCTGCTAGGACCTCGTTGACTGCGGGCAGAAAACGGTCACTTGCAGGCACCACTTTGGTCTCCAGCAGATCGTCCTGAAATAACAACGCGGATTGCATTATCAACTAGTAATAATAGCGTACCGTACAGAGGAACACTCTTTGTCAAAACAAAAACTAATCGAACAAGCGTGTCACCTAATCGGTTCATAATAACAATACAGAACCAAACCAGCAATATCCTTAATATATTATAGGGACGACAAGCGGGGCCCTTATTTAGCTGCCTGAATCTCGGACTGCAAAACGAAAGCTCTGCTATATTACAGGCACAGTTTGGAAAATTGAATTATTGAAGTACCGCTGAGGACAACAACATATAATTTGTTACTCTCGATAAGAAGTAAAACTTGTAAGTGAACGTATAAATAATTGCAGAGGTTTTCAAAAGAGATGTGAAAATACGACAGAAGTAAGGAACGGTGTATATCTTCTCAGACGAATCGCCTGAAAATTCAATCGACATAGAGCCGAGTGACCGCATCTCAAATAGGGTGATCATACCTATTCGGACAGGTTCTGCCCGGCAGATGCATGTTCAGACACCTATACAACAATACATAAGTACCAGCTAATTAGCATATAATTAATTGCACACAATATTTCATTCAAGCTATTGCGAAAAATCTGACATCTACACAGCTCAGACGTAATCAAACCATTTAGTTTCCCATTTCCATCCAAAGTTATCTAGCCCCGAAGATTTTACATTTGTTACCACCTACATTTCAATACATCATTCGTAACTTTACCATACTTATTCTTTCTGAACTGTATATCGATTGCAGTACGACTAGCAGAATTTCAGAAAGCGGTGACAACGCTTGCGGCAAAAAGTAGCTAAAAAATATTTTGACTTATATAAGAATGACAGCTTATCCACGAGGCCACTCACGTCGTCATCGTTATCATCGTGATATCTGCATGTAAGCACTCTGATTGCAGATGAAAGCGCATTTCGGAAACCTCCATTTGGTTGATCCGATTGATCCGACAGGGGTAACTTTTGACTGCCAAGAGTCGCCTTCTCGAGCAGCTCCTGTCGCAAACGCCAAAAACATTTCAACAATCAGGTCAAAATAAAGAAACTTTCCATTTTGGCAGCATATACTACCATAATGAGTTGAGCTTATTTATATAAATCATCCTAAGGGTGGCTCTGAAAATTTCTTTGTGGTCAAATTTAGTCCGACGAAAGAGTAAACTCTATGCAAGTCTCTAGTTTGGGGAAACACTGTTCTCATGTCGAAAATTCAAAACAAAAAAAAATAAGCCAAAAACGATAAATTTGAAAAACCTTTTTGTTTTGTCAATTTTTCGGACTACAACGCAACATTTGGCCATATATGTTTATTCTGTCGTTTTTTCAAGGATATCCGTCGAGTTTCTGAACATATTTAAACTAAATAGTATATTATTCGGTTTCTATGCTAGTAAATAAATCTGAAAAGGTAAATCTTGATTTAGTGTACACTAACTAGGTGGTTATTTTTGAAAGTGACAGTGATGAATACATGCATATTACAAAATAAATGGATCAAGATGTCTTAACTCGATACCTTGCCAGCCTGTTTTTTTTTGTTTCCCGCTGACGTTACTGCTATGGGAATCAGGTTGTTCGGAATCACTTTATTGTCTGACGCCCAAGACACTGGAAAAGCAGAGAAATTCAATTGTAAAGTCATTCACATGTCCCTAAAAAGTCGACAGTAACCTAATTATATCCGATATTGGTGTAACTCACTTCGATCTGCCAGAGCACGATCATGCAGCTCTCCACTAAATTTAATAACTTTTTAATAATAATAAAGGTTTGTACCTATGATTTAGAGACCTAAAGTAAACCATCACAGACACCTCTGAAATATACATTTTGAGACCTAACTTATGTAGAAATATGTTCGTTTTCACTCGTACAAGCAACCATGTGCATATGTTCAATCCCAGATTTTCCAGAAGTGTAGGGCGGTGGCGGCGTCAACGGCGGTGGCAATGGCGGTTAAGCTTTCGCTGTGAAGAAAGCTATTATTAGCTTTTTGTATACCCGATATAAAATGAATTTTTAGGTAATAGAATTTTTGTACTTTTTTTGTCGTCATTTTCTATAAAATCGGTCAGATGCGGCTTATCTCCGTCAAATCGTGGCCACAATTATCGTTGCTGGCTTGAGGTTGCCACTTTCACAGTAGCCGGAAGTTTGCCACTTACGTGTACACTGGAGCTCCAATCAGCATCCGTTCGTTCGTTGAGTTTGGTATGAGTACGTTGTTCAATTGTACCCAAAGTAATGAGTGCACAGAGTACACTGTACGTATGTAGAATCGGTGTAGCTTTAATAATCGACAATTTGCGTATCATTGACGAATGATTTCATGAAATTTTCAAACTATGCCGTATAGAGTTTTGAAGATGTAAGTAAGTACGACGTAATTTATTACCATCTAAATACATTTGCTTCCTTTATAAGCAAAGCAAGCTTTGTTTCTTTTGAGAGAGCGACTCCGGGCTTTATGAGGCAGAGGTCTGGTACCTGTGTTCTAACGAGGCACACATAAGCTCGGAATGACCGTGATGTGACGTCCACGTGATAGCATAGAGGGCAACGTATTTGAGATAGTATTAGGGAGGCGTTGGCGGCCTGGATTCGAACCCAAACACAGACAGACAATTCATTTCATGGCGGGGGTCAGCCTATCCTGTCTGATAAAAATGCCTAACGGCGATACCGGAGATAAAACTCAAAATATTGAGAGACTGTCAACAGTTGTCTTATTAAGTTATTTTTGTTTTATGTGTGTGTGTATGTGTGTTTTTCTAAATACAGACCTGCTTTTCGTCTTGCTGATATTATAACTATACATTTAAATAATGATGATTATTTAGAAAAGTAGAACCAAAAAGAGATTTAAAAAAATATAATCAGGCGTGCTCGCATTTTGTTAAAATTTAAAGTTGTTTATGGATCGTTGAGCGAGGTTTACGAAAAAATCCTTATTTTATATTTCAAAAATTCGCAAGACAGGTATACTTCGAATACTCTAAAACTCGATCAACGTCGCGCTATACAAATATCCTCTATAATGCTACAGTAGAAGAAGGTTGAGGTGAATTTCAGTGAACTGTACGTGGACTAAAATGTACTTTTAGTCGTAGGGCGCTAACGCATAGCTACTTTTTAATTATTTAATGTGTTAGCCGCTAGGGCAGGAGAAATCGACTTGCAACAAATGTTATTATTCCTAATCAGCCCAATATAGAAACATATTCATGATACTCTATAACAGAGAAAAGAGCCTTCAAAAAAAAAAATGTATTTTTATCGCGAACAAGTTGGATACGAGAATCGAACCTGGTCGTTGTCGCACGCGCATTTTGTGACGTATTGAAAAAACAGCGCCCTCGGTTCACTAAATCCAATAAGACTGTCTGTTCTGTCTAAGTCACTTTCATACAGTTTCATAGATAACTGTCCATTACTAAATTCCGGCAAAAAGTCAAAAAACACAACAGAACAATACACTGTGTCTTTCTGCAGATAACATATACCGCTAGTCCTCAGAAATGTTCATTGATCCTCATTTCGGGGCACCAACTTCAGCTAAAGGTTTGCGAGAAGGACGCTTCTACTATCAGGGAACTGACGAGTCTGAGTTCTGATTGTCTCAGAGACCTTCGAGTACCGGAACCAGCATATGAGCAAGACCAATCAATCTTACTATGGAGCGTCATAGGCACAAAATCGAGGCCTTAGGCAGCACGGCGATGCTTGGCCGTTGATCTTGACCATGACCAATGTCGAGGTCTTAAGCGGCTTCCTAACGGGTGAAACGTCTCGGGAATGACCTCAAACCTCTGATGAGTATATAAATTACGTAAAAATAATTCGCTCTACTGACGAGGCATTTCTGAGTTAGAGACTGCAGCTTTCTACTGAGAATCTTCAACATTTGCAACAGGAATATGTCAAGATCGTCAAATCGTAAAATCGTTAAAAACTCGTTAAAAAAACTTAACTAAGAATACCGATATTCTTACTAATCTAAGGAAATATATATATTTTACCGTGTAGCAAGCAGGTACTTTGGCTTATCGATTTTTGATCGCAGTAATATTACTGAAATATCGCTCGGATCTACACAGTTTGCACTGATTAGTATGTATTTAATTGAAGTAATATTTATCCAAGAGACATTATTTCACACTGCAACGGGTTGATCACGCTGAGGGCAATGAAATAATTGATTGATTGTAAGGATTGATGAAATAATAATGCATGCACCCATTCATAGTAGGTTTATACATATTTTGTTATATCTATTAATCTTCTATAGATTACAAATAAAGCAAACTTATGTATATATATGCGCTATGCTTCCCATCGAGGATTGCTTACTAACTAGCTTTTTTTTTTAACTAATCGCACCGGTCGTGTAGTATTCGTATACTAATCACACGATTGACATTGAATTTCCCTTATAAATGTTGCTTTTCTGCTTCCGGCATCCAAAAAAAGCAGAACATAGTAGTTTTACACTGTGAAATAAGGTTTAAATTTGCGACAATATAAATCCATCATCGATTTCTCTTCCTTCAGTAAAGAAAAGTAGAAAGGGTAACGATTGTCTAGCGACGTAACGCTCAAATGTTGTCTCTGAGCTCCTATGCAGCGTAGGACGTCCGCTGAATCCTCTCAGTAGCAGGACACACGATGTATGTATCATTAAGGCGTGGCTAACTTTCATTAAGGATGTCGTCTTCTCATTGTCATAGCAATGGGGCCGGATGACACCGAGAGTATATTATACACGACGGATTGTCTTAAACGGTAGAACGTCACTTTCGCAAATGGATGCCATAAAAGGTCTAACGTCTAACTGAAACTTAATTAGCCCATTTGTTCAAGACGAAATTTCTCCTGGCAAAGCTAGATGAAAAAGACACGTATTTTTGCATTCATTCGGATCACGACACAGCTTTGCATGTTATATTCTGACAAACAAAAAAAAAAAAGCTCAAGCAAAGTACATTGCTTTAAATCGGGCCAGGATATTCAGTTATCTTACATTATAATCTCTGAAGCCAAATGGGATAGGATGGTTATTTGTGATGATGATTGATCGTCTGTCGTAAAGATAAACATCACCGCGAAAACTATAAGCTCTGGACTATACGAGGAAGACACTGAAGCGCTTAGCTTTTGTCTTGATTCGAGCACAGCGCCAAAAAACTAATGGCGGGCTATTTAATTCGTATTTCATGGACGGTAATAGTTGATCATATAATAATGATGATAAAAAGTTCCATTATTATATATATAGATATATATTAGTCATCTATTTGTCAACAACACTTACTCAGTTACACATTCTCTTGAATCTAACAGATTTTCCATTTCATTTAGTTTTTCATCGTAATGTTGCGTCTTGCGCATTTCTGTATGTAGTGTTAACGTCGTATTTAGAACTTGCTCTCCATAAATTTGTCTGAACTTCGATACTCGTAGTAAGTAAGTAAGTAAGTAAGTACGTAAGTGTTAAACTCGAAGCTTGAAGAAGATGTACAAGTGGAAAGTATTCCCTCTCTCGTAAAACTCTCTGCGAATGTTCATAAAAATTGGCCCGAACGTCGACAGATAATTAATTGGTGCTATCTAAATAAAATGTGGGTATCTTTGAGTTAGATGTTGTGTTGCTGATCGAATTTATGCAATCTGCGATAACCATAATTTTTGTGGGCTATACACACGGAGTCAGGTCGATGACTTCTATATGTATAGTACACAGGCAGATTTGACGACGGTTAAATGACTGATCGATTTCGACACCGGTCTATAAATGGGTCCGACATCTTTTTTTAGACCCACTCGGATTGTGACGGAACATTCCGTTTGCCGACAGACTCAACATCGCAAAAATAATAAATAACTGACTTGTGACTAGCTGAATGACGCTCACTGACAGAAATGACTGCCTACTTCCACTTTATTACTCCGTTTTTTTGAAACAGTTCGATACATCTCTGCATAAGCATCATCTAATGAGCTTCTAAAATTAATATGGTGTTATTTTACTATTCAATGTCCTATTGATTGAATATTTCCAGGAAGGTCAACTTCTGTCTCTAAAAGGTACTGTGGCCTTTCTGTGCGCAACGATTAATCAGCAGTACAGAAAATGCAATTATTCGTTGACACAGTGGTACTGCGTGGTCGTATCCAATCGAATGGCGTTACCCGAACCCATCTTCTATATGAATTAAAACCAATATGACGATAATAGTACTAATAACCTAGCTCAAAATACTTCAAGTTATAAGCTATTCCAAGTTGAGGAAAGCTAACACGTTGGTCCAAGTTTAACTTGCCTATGCCCCTCGCAGGTGACGGAACGATAAACTTGATTAGAACCGAACAGCGAAAACATTGCAGATTTAATCAAGAAGTTAGCTATAATAATTTCTGGGTAATTTAATATTGTGAATTTCGGGAGAGACAAGCCCAAATTTTTTAAGAGTTACAAATTCACTTAAGGATAGCGTTTTTATTTGGAAAAGAAACAAAGTGTTAAAAAACAATATTCGAAAACATCTGATCTTATGTTCTGAGCACGTAACGCAGGGTTAGTTACATTTGTATCTAAAACTTGTTCTAAAATCACAGAGATTTGATGTTTCAAGGCAAAACATTGCTTCTTTTTCTAAACCAGCATAGAGCATCTTGGATAACCCTCATGTTGTAAATTAGGCAGGAATTTTTCCTAGTTTAGTTTTTTTTTAATTTTTGCACGTTGCCAACTGCATCTGCCTGTGACGCATTAACTCCACGCGTCTTAGTATCGCTGGTTGCTTTCCTCTTTGATTGAAGCTATATGATATCAATTGTTTGCTAAAACTGATCCTCGTGAGAAAGAAGGTCAACAAATGGGATTTAAATATGTAGATCGTTACTTTGGTTGACGAGACTAAATTGTGACTAAATTGTAAAGACTAAATCACCTCACACGTCTTTTCGTATTCTATAGAGTTGCTACCAGGGTATATTCGTGAGAGAAACAGTTCTTGTGAAGGTTGGCCTTGCTAACACCGTATTGTATAATCATAATCCACATATGAAAACACCACGTACCGTTTCGTCCGTTAACGTGCAACACGGTCGTGCGAACTGTATCGTGGTCCATCTCCAACTGATTGAGCGCAACTTGTTCTGCTAATGCCATTTCCGTCCCGCTCTAATCCTTTACCTCCTTTTGGCGATTTTGTTGCAGCACGGGTCCGTAGCACTCCTTCTTTAGGCCGTTGTTCAACCTCTGACCGTTTGGTCGGCCCTTCGTCACAGTGCTAGCTCCCTTTGAGCTTCGACGTTCACAAATTGCATGTCTGCTCCTGTCTAATCTCTAACTTAGTTGTTAGACATTAACATACAATCATGAAAATGAAGCCATGCTAAATTACAGTGAGTCCATATCAAAGACTATGGCCATGCTCGACCTCGGCGCGTGCATACATCTATACAGTGAGCCTAGAACTACTGCCGCTCGGTGTCAACGATGTACATATTTCAATGCAGCACGTCCTGAGTAAGCGAGTTGAGTTAACCAAGGGAGGCAGACCATGGACCTCAGCTGACTATGAGCGCTGCTCGGCTCCTGGACATCTTTGCCAACTTGGGTTGATCATCGTGACACCGATAACCGAGGTTCTGCCAAGCGGATTCTTAAAGGAGGGTATATTTCTAGAATGCTCCCTAGGGGCGAGCTTTGATTGGCTAGGTAATAGGCAGTAAATGAACGACGTGCTTGGAGCAGTGTCTACACAGAACCTGTGATGATGCTGTAAACATGTTTGCCTTTAGGGAGGTGCGATCATCCCAACCTCATGACTCATGGATGGCATCACGTTCATTACCGTGTTGCCATACAGGTATAGGTTGAACGACGGCCCCGTAAGCCTTACTCGAGAAAAAATGTACTGGTTATGCAGGCTTTCGGGTGATATGAACGCAGACACAGTATACGAAGCCTAAATGACCAGAACTCGATTGAGGAAGCGTCGTTTGATTGTGTTCGTTAATCCAGTGTTGATGTTGCGTAACTGTGATTCTTTTAAACTCATTATGGCATTTAGAACACTTTCTATTTCGATGATTGTTCTTCTAGCAAAAGAGTGCATTGAGTCCTTGTGTTCGTGGTCAAAAAGGGTCCGGTAAAGTAAATAGGTTGGTAGCAAATGCAAGTTGGTAACAAACTTCTAATTTTTTGCTTTTTAAAAGCCGGCTAACGGAAAACAGACGCTTCCCATAAAAGCGGTTCCGGCCGTTAGTCTATCAATTAAGCAAATAATTCTTTTAGCAGCGCTATTGTTCCAGACGTTTGTATTTGAGTGCTGTACAATTGAAATAGAGGTCGCCGCTCAAAGCGTTATTGACAAGTAGCGATAGATGCGCACTCCTAGACGAAGCTGCCGGACACCGTGCCAGAAGCCATGTCTTGTCTTCGATGCGCTAATAACGGTGGCCTTATTGAAGAAGTCCAGGTAAGGGCATATTTTTGAGTGCGTGCCATTCATTTTTTCACCTTTGTTATCCATAAACCAACAGCATGTTCTAATATGTTTATTTTCGGAAAAAAAAAAAAAACTAACGGACATCGATATTAAATAGGTTACATTTATTCATAAAATAGGCTGTTCGATAAAATTATTGCGGTGTAGTCTCTTACACTAGCAAATATGACGGAAGATATATTATAATAGCCTTAAAACGTTTAGTTAGCAGAACAAATGTACACGAAGATTCTAACATCTAAGACGTACCCTAAAATGGGTAATTTGTAATACGTTTTCACGTTGTATATACGTTTTTTTTTTTTTCAAGTCAGATTCATTCATATGTATAATTTTCATAATTATAACGCATGTGAATAAATTCTGTTATTGTTTTTTTCATTTGTAATCATTTCACCTATGATAACAATCTCCGAGCCATATACGATAATAATAACAGCAACCATATATATATATATATGCCATATATATATATATATATATATAGGGTACTCACAGGGTAGACGTAACAATACATATCTCGAAAACGATGAAGTGCGTAAGGGTATGATTTGCCGACGGCGATAAATTTCTACTACGTCTAACTTTTTTCTACCACTAAATTCGACCGGCTGCCCGTAATGAGGGAAGACATTCCTCATATTAGGTTTTCTTCGACACGTTTCTTAACTAGAACAGATAATTCCTACGTTTTTCTGAAGTCGTCTGCCTTATTTGAATATGTTTAATTTTATGCTCCTGACCGGAACAACGCTGCCTGTGAGTGCACTCGTCGTGGCTAATGATTCTATGAATTTTACTTGTTATATTTTACGTTTTCTAATAGAAGTACGCTTGTTATTATATTTAATTGAATCAATATTTATTTATACAAAAATGTCTTTTTTTTAATATATTGGTAACTCGTTCTTTGGTCATTTTGTCAAAAATTTACAACAGCATTTCTCAATTAAAAAAATAAAACTGCAATCAAGAAAAAAACGTCAAATATCAAACTGTAGAAGTTTCGCGAAATATCGAGATTTTTTGGGGATTATAGGTTTCACAAATCGCTATATATATATATAACGCGTGTTCAGATAATGAGATATACAATTACACCCTTTATATTCTATAAACTGTATTATTCAGATAGCATAGAATTACACTTCTAGAAAATAAAAATGTCTTTTACTAGCACTACTTATACAGTAGTTCTATATAATAATGGGCCGAAACATAAGTCGACAGAGAACTTCAGAAAAGCAAGACTACTCTTTGATTGAATTTAGGAGAGCGATCGAATAGAAGGGATTTCTAATCTGAGGCATCGAAATTTAGCATTGAGCTTTTAAAAAAGGCCAACGAACAGTTAAACAGACCAAACATCAGTGACACGTCCGTTCAGAGACTGCAGAAGAAACGTATGTAATGATTTTTTTTTTCTGTGACTTCACTAATTGGTAATAAATCGATTATCGTGTACGAAAAGTCACAGTCGAGGCCTTCGTAAAATTTGATAATAACAACACTAGAAGAATTTGATAGTAAAATAAATAATTTATTCTTCCGCGGTGGTACATAGCTCCGTTTTTGTCACACCATCATCAATTGTCACAACCACCATCCGCAATCTACTGTTAAAAACCATCAAGATTTCTAATACTGTGTTTTACCTCCTCTATACTCATCTACACGTTCGTTCATCAAAACACGTATACTTATGGCAATATGCCATACGGATTCTCACAAAATGAGGTGCAGAACGTGATGCGTGCACTTCATAATGGATGCAAACAGCTTCGCTCCAGCGTCGTACACTCACGCAAACAAAATACTTATTTACACTGCCGTATTGATTGGCCGGGACGCCTGCTTACTTAAGAGGCTCTGTCCAGTTCGTAGTTTTACATGTGTCTTAGTATGTATATGTTCGTTAAGGTTTAGCAGACCTATTTATATGGGAAATTAACAAAGAGGCGCGATTATATCATGACGTCAGCACGTCACAGCGTAAGTTTTCGAGAATGTGCGAGCTTCATCTTCACAATTGTTAAGCCCCTCTGTGAATTCTTCAAATTGTCGAACTGAGACTTTTTTTCCGTGTCGAAGAGACGTTTTGACGAACAGGAAAATCGCCCTGTTAGACTTAACGCTGCACCAATTGCTACCGAATCTGAGCAAAACGACACACGAGTCAGAGTCTACCCGCTGTGCCTGTAATCTCTCGACAAGTCAGGCGATTATCATTTGTTTGCCTTAGCTTCTACTAGCGTTTCGGTGTTCGCACTTCAATTCTTTCCGTTACGGAAAAGATAATGTTCAAACTATCACACGGATGCGTCAGCGGGGCGGGTTGCCCTGCAGTGTTTTTTTTTTCGCGTACACTTTTCGAAAAGAATTAGCTTCGACCGCTGGTCACCGTCACCAGGTTGACTGTTAGCGATTTAACCGAACGAATCGTTAATCCACATATTTTACGCACGTTAGGAGTCCGGCATCACATCACACTCTCGGTGATACTCGGTCGTTCGAGGTACGTGGACGTACCGAGAAACTCAAAGTTGGTGGGACGTCTGTAATGCACAAACATCGAGCCCAACAAAAAAAGTCCGAATACCAAGAAATATCGCAGTACAGAAACACTCTACACAAAGCAGTTGGTGGAAAAATATAAAAAATAAAGCATACACCTTACTCAGATACATGGAACTAAGAACCGGTTAAAATCGTTCTATGTGTCACTACTTCACTAATGAATACGCTCATCGTGTTGCATTCACCTGCAGCAATTACGGTAGCTCCTCATCTAGACTCTGCAAGATGTCTACCTCACGTACAAGATTTACTTAACTATGGCTCGCATTAGCATTTCGTGTATATGCATTCGGCATATATATGATTCATTTGACATGCTGTGCATAGAAATTCGTTCGTACGTGCAAGAAATAGCGCAACTTCTATATGGTCGATGTTTTCTCGGCGTGTCAACCGGCCGAAGAGACCCTTTACTTGCGCTGTGACACTATATGTGTGTATGTAATATATGTATAGCACTCAGTGAATGAATAACTTTCCATCTTTTCCTGTGTTTTAAACATCGAGCATTTCTATTCGAGGAAAATTTAATAATAACACTGGGAGAGACAGTGCGGGTGCGTGTGTACCGCTTCCTCTTTCATTCTGACATGTTTTTGTCACACAACAAGGTTTCTACCTGCAATAACACCATGAAATGATGCGATTGTTCCGTTTCATTATTATCATCAGCATTACTGAACTGTTGCTTACGTTTATTCTACTGAGATTCTACAGACAGCTGACAGCGCTTTTCCTCCGATGGCTTTTCTATTTTTGTCTTATTGTATAGTCATTCCGGTAACTCCGGGTTCTGAACCACCGTCGAAGCGAAATAGGGCTGCCGGGCTAAGGCACTTCACTTTGGTTCAAATCCGCCCGCTCGTAAATGCACGGACAGAAATAGCTGAAAAAGAGATACGTAATGAGGTGCATATGGGAGGCACAGCGAATGCAACGAAGCCCTATATCACCGCCATGTTTTATGAAGGTAAAGCTGATTATACTACTGGTTCGCAAAAAGGCGGCTGATCGAAAAGTACTGAGACTGTGTCCGCACCGATGTCTTCCTAAGGATCATTTAGCAAATACTCAGCTCCTCCGGACGTTTCCGACAAACGGCCTATCGAACGACGCCGCTTAGCGGAGTTTCTGCAACGGCAATTCAGCCGGAGGGAAGATCCGACGGGCTCGAATGGCTCTGCGAGGGTGCCCGGTCACCTCATGACGACACCTTTAGACCACTTTGGTGCTATGATCCTCCATTGAAGGCATTGACGGAATAGCAGACGATAGACAGGTAAGGACAGGTGGCGATGAAGCGTTCGGGTGCATTGCGCCCGGATGACTGACTAGAGTGGGATGCGAATGAGGGTGGGCTGCTGCAGCCAGATGTGGATGAGGTGCTTCGGCTCCATGGTGAGTTGAAGCGCACAGCAGCGCCGGATGATGCGGTGGCGGCGGCATTAGCGAGCGGTGGTACTCACTTGTCGCTGCGCCGAGGTAATCGAAGTGCAGAGGCAGCTCCGAGTATTTGGGGTAGGCCAGCGAAAAGTGGTATGGATCGAGGGGCGTTGGTTCGATGTATGTTGGCCGAGGTACGTTTCGCAGGTAGTTCGCTGCTGATATGAGTTGGCTAACCTCTTCGGTGTTGGTCGGCGTGAGGCTTTGTTCGACATCTCCGACGGCAGCTGCCTCCTCGTCCAATTGATGATGGTGATGGTGCGATTGATGCTGATATTTCGCTGTCGCCGGGGCGGGTACTCGCTGGAAGACCGGCGCGGTTGCGGCCGTTGCCAGGGTTAAGCTGCCGTACGGGTAACTTCCAGTGTAGCCACCATTTGCAACCGGCGTTGTTAGTTCGGTAAACTGTGGTACCTGTATGGGGTTCGTATGATGCATCAAGGTCGGCTGCGGGTAGTGGGGCAGCGTTTGATGGGGTGTGCTCGGCGAATGTGTTTGGTGGCTATGCACACCCATATTGTTTACACTGCCTATTCCAACATTGGCGCCAACACCGACTCCAATATGAGGATGCGTAAGAGACGAAGGCATCGTTGGTGAGCATCGGCCGTCGTTTGTCGGCGATGCTGATCTCTTTACGCCGTGCAGCACCTGTGGTGTCCATTTGGACGGGGTATTTTGCGGCTGACTAACATACGATGAGGGGTTGTATACACTGGATACGTATTGTGGCGCGGGGGCCACTGGAGCGACGGAAGCCACCGAGCTGTTTAGCGATGGAGGGACTGGTGATGGTGCCGAATAGGTGCGTACTGGGGAATATTGCGCGGATGATCTCGATTGACTTGGAGGCGATGGCGCCTGTGTGGGCGGGTCATTGTATCCAAGGTTATAGCTCATTTTCGAATGTAATGAGTAGTATTGGTATAGCCAGCTGTTCTGTCGCATGACGTATGCTTCACGCTCACTGCGAACAGAAAAGGAACCAACACGCACTAATCAGAAACGACGACGCCATAGATATGCTTATGCCGTTATTACATTTATAGAAAAAAAAAAAAAAAAAAAACAAAACACTCACATCACGTTTATGCGTACTTTGTATTTTTTTTTCCCACTTTGCGCTAATTTTGTTCAGCTGTCGAAGAAACGCTTTCATCTCCAATAGACTGCTTAAATCAGCAGTACCTTCTAGTTCCTAAAGCATTATAGACGGGCGCAAGAGAATGTGCGTACCTCAAAACCTGATTGGTGCACACGATGATGGGCTGCTGGTTTGAATCAGAGGCGTCCTTCACCTGGAGCACGCAGTGAATCCAGATCCAGCCCCGATTGAGACTCTGGAGCCGTAGGAGAACAATGCAGCTACGTTCCTGCTCGTTTTGGGTTACTATCAAAAGACAGAAGACGTACGCCAAACATAAAAAAACGTCACGAAAAGGAAAAACTTTAGTGGACAGTCTTAATAGCAGATAGAGCAGGTGGTGCATGTGTGGTAACCCTACAAAGTGCAGTCATTGATTGAGTGATTTAGAAATGAGGCATAGACAAAGATAGGAGATTCTTATAAAAAAAAAAAGTATGCTAAAAAAGATTCGATACTTACTTAGTTTGTGCTTGCTCTGGACGTCGCTGAGGTGATCCCAATGAACGAGTTCATACCAGCTTACACCTTGTAGACTGCTTTTTTGATAGCCGAGATGGAATTCGCCATTTCGATCAAGATGAAGGATTTTCATGTCCATAGAATGAATCGAAGTGAATACGTGCGTACTTCCTTGAACGACGCATTCGCGCGTCTCAGGCATCGCGACAGGCGTGCATAGGGCGAGAAACACTGGTTCGTTTCGCGAGCACAAGGGAAGATAACCCGCAAAATGGCCCTGAACCAATACCACCTAAACCAGCACATGGTCAAAAAAAAATTCCGTCGCATTACTCCTATACGAGATCGGGTCGTTTTTTCTTCTAACCCAACTTTTATGGAAAACACGACGGTTTACGGTAAGATCAGGACATGTCATATTGTTTAAGCTATGCTTTCGGGGCATGCTAAAAACGTGCATTATATTGTTTGCTTGACATGTGCAACCTACTGTATGAATTGTAGACCTACTTTTTGGTCTCCAAACCGCATTTGACGCCGTGCGTTGCGGGATACGTTCATCCGGCAGAGGAACGTACGGATCTCCTTAGCTGCATTGCCGGTCGTCGGGTTACGGGAAAGTTCGCTTTGAATATTGGTATGATCTTGTTTTTCGATGATATCGTACACCGAGTCACCATGAATAAGCAAATCTTCCTGTAGATGAGATCAGTCGAATTCAGAAACCAAACGGCCGCGTTCATTAACAATATGATTCCTTATGCATACATATTACTGCTATTTTTCTTTTGATAGAAATAACCCCAAATTTCAATTTGTATAGTCTAGCCATTTTATCAGATGGACAAAAATACTCTCGTTTCAAGGAAAAGCTTTGCTCGAAGCTTGCGTTTTGTGGGTATTAGGTGGATCTATACGGACTCTCTTGGTGTTAGCGTAACGGTTTACGACGCTTTTGAGCCAGCTCCGCTTTCTTTAGTCTAGCCCGTTAGTTTGCCCCTAAGCTCAATCGCTGCTCTAATACCTACCTTGATCAAGCTGCACATGTTATTATAATGTGCGATAATAACAACAATGAAATATTGTCATCTTTACATACCTTGTTCGTTGATGTATACATTAGAACACTATGCGAGTGTGGGTTTATGCTTATATATGCCTTTTCAGAAACACCTCTAATACGATTTGAATTTCCCGCGGTGAGAGAAGAAGCCGTGCACCAGGATCGGTGCTAAAACATGAACCCATGAACTCAACAGTTTTCTCCATTAGGGCTTAGAATTTATAGAACATATTATATTAGAAGGTCATTGTGGTAAAATTAAATACTGCAACAATCTATAATAAGTCGCCGCTAACAAAATTAATAAGAGTGGCAATTATTATTACTATTAATTTATATAATATATGGACGATAACAGCCAAATATAGCAATAATTTAATGTATCATCAGTTGCTACATGGCTGCATTCAGTGTACGGACAGAGTCATAGGCAGATGATTTTCACGAAGGCAAAAAGCTGCGTATAGAATGAGCGTCGCATACCTCAAACGGCTCTACGCGATTTCTATGCAGGAACAATAATAATAATAATAATAATAAGAACCATTATAAAAACTAGAACAACGGCGGCAAGCAGGTACATTTATGATTACTTAATTGCGGCTATCAAATTATTAAAGTTATAATTTTACTATCATGATTTTCATTACAGGCGATAGGTCCACTAATCGAGCAGGGATCGGCAAGGATCTGGCCGCTACAGATATATGCTAACAATACTTCTCTCTCTCTCTCTCTCTCTCTCTCTCTCTCTTAAACCGTATATATATATATATATATATATATATATATATATATATATATATATAATGAATAGAAGCCGTGGAAATGCAAGGCCAGCTAATCACGGCGTGCTGATTATTTATACTTACCACTGACTGGCGCTGTAAATGAGATTAGATCGAATCAGAATAGTAACCAGGTCTGCTTTGCACGTGATGTATGTACATTTTTGTAGGTAGGTACGTGCGCAGAGCTCTGATGAGCACACGCCAGCACAAATCAGTGCCCGCCAAAAGACTTAGACGGACCTTTTGTCATACACATATTATAGCGTACGTCGGGAGGAAACAGCTTATTAAGGGCTCCGAAAAATTACATCCGGACGTAGCTATTTTGATCATGCCTCATCAGCAACCGCTGGTTTGGTTCATCGCTGAGATCACGCGTGACCCGTTTTTCATTCTATAATATTTTTATGTTTTTGTTGCCCGATTCGACATTTTTTTTAATAGGCAGTGATATAGACAAAACGGGCTGTTTGGCGACGGAAGGAAACCGCCCTGAAAGTGGAACTCCTTTCGGCGAATGCCGCCGATCGGCAGATTCTGCCGGTGCCAATCGAGACATTGGAACCACTAGCTACCTAGCCAGGTGGGCTTAATCGAAATGATATTGAATAAATCTATTAATAGGTAAAAATTCGGCAGAGTCTCGACGTGCAGCAGAAAACAGTGTGACATTAAAATACACGAACAGTGCCCCTGAGGCTATTGCACATAACAAATACGTTGACAGCTTTGCCATTGTGGGGACTGCCATAGACTAAGCAGACGAAACCCCCTAGAGATATGATAACAATACACAAAGATGACCGCACGACCGTTCCGCTTAGGTCATCTTCACGTGCCCATACACGCGGTACTCACTATACTTAAGCTAAGCCATCTGTGAACCGAATACACATGTACAGAAACACAATATATCATACTAAATTAGCTCGCACGAGTAAGCACTGACACAGTTAAATATCGAACGCAGTTAGCGCAGAGCCAGCCACTGCATTTGTAGGCGAAAACAACAAAATAAATTTATTACCATCGCCAATGAAAACCGGATAGCCATAACCAGCCCCATGAAAACGAAGACAAAAGTAACAAGCCCAGGAACAGAAATCCGAGGCCAAAGTCTGCCAATAAACAAGAAAATGAAGTAGAAATAAATTTCCCTACTAATGGCTACCGATGTTCATGCTTACACTGCGTTCGACTCGAGATTGACTGCTCGCCGTAAAAATTGTTCGGTTCCATTCCGTGGGCAGGATTTGTCCGCGTTCGAAGATCAAGAAATTACGTTAGAGCGCTATTCTTCAGTAGGTAGCCAGGATCAGCTGACAGCTCACAGCTATACTGCTGTCAAGTCAGCAGCGACAGAAATGCCTTCAACAACATTAATAATGAAAAGAATAATCTGCACATACACTAAATACAGGAACATCAGAAAAAAGCTGTTTGGTTTTAGGTGATTTTCACGGTAAGTGATGACTTCATTAGTAATTTGGCGATATATCCGCGCGAACGTAGAGCAGCAGCAGTAGCAACAAATGGCAGGTCCGGTTCGCCACGGTCTCGTCCGGCACAAACATAAACGCCATGTTTTTTTCTACCGTTTTCCCTTTCTTTCTGCTTCTTTCCCGGTTTCCTGTTCTTTTGCGCGTCTTTTTCCCGATGACTTTACCCCGTCGCTGATTACCGCTGGCGGCCGAACTGGCTACCAGACCAAAAGCGTAAAGCGGACAATGACGATGCCACCGAACTTCGGCGTCCTCGTAGCTTTCGCACACTTCGATGAAACCGCGACGATCAATGCAGACGCCGTCGATCGCCACCGGCGGCAGCTATGCGTTTGGCACGAGGAAAAAGTGGCGGTGGTGATCGAGCAGAAAAGATCAAAATCGAAATGCACCAAAACGCGCCCGAAAAATCAGATGACCACGGCGGCTGGCCACAGCAATGCCACGACACCGGCAACGGTCAGAGCAGCGACAAGAAAAAATAATCACCAGAACGTCTTCGTCGTCAGCTCAACCCCAATCATCACAATCATCATCGCCATCATCACCGCCAATCTGCCGCCGCCGCCGCCGCCGCCGCCGCCGCCGCTGGCGGTACTTAGTCAGGTAGATCAGCTGCAGCAAAAGCGAATCATCAGCAAAGAAAGACGACGAAGTTCAACTCCATCGGCTGATCTCTGTTCGCTGGGCCTGGTCGCCGTCTCGCTGCTCCCGGATCCGCAGGGCCAGCAGCATCGCCTCGTTATCTTCGTGGAAAGCTCGAGTTGTTACTACTACTACTACGAATACATCCGACTATTGTGACTGATGCTGCTGGTTAATAACAACAGCAACACTCATTAATTCATAAAAGAAAACCAGCGAACAAACCGATGGCTGGACGGACAGACAGGTCTAGGGCCAAACACAAACTTCAACGACGCCAATGTTCGCCCTGATCTTTTCCTGTTTATTCTAGCTGCCGTCGATGCGACCTCCACCGCATCTTCCGCGTCCTGATCTACATCGATGACTGTGTGTTAGCTGATTGACCGAGCAGCAACTACTAGGACATCTGCATTATTTTTAACTTGGTCGCCTACTTGATTTCTGGCTAGAGGCTCCTTTATTCGCTCGTAGTTCTAAGCAGTTGCTGTTACTGCTGCTGCTACTGTCGGAAGTGTTTCATCGTGACGCTCTGTATGCGTCGGTTTCTCCGCTCAGTTCCTCGTGCGCCGCGCGATTAATGTTGAGAATCTCGTTTTCAACAGAATACACTCATACGTGATGCTACGTAAGGGTACGTAGCAGTCTGCCCGTCAGATGGGTCCTCCAGGGTGGGCTAGAATTAAGCGACATTGGTCTGATATTACTGTCACCGAAGATGATGATCGCACCTGTAGCTACTGCTGAGCAGAGATGATCAGACCTCTGGAATTAGCGGGAAAATTCAACCGTTAACTGTACACGACTACTTCGAGGGGAATCTGTATAAATCGTTTCCGTACAGATATTGGCTTTTTTTTTTCGCTGTTGACGGATGCTAGAACGAGAGAAGCAGGCGCATTGGAGACAGTTTCAGCTAGACATATTTGTAGACAGAGGAGCGTGTTACGCCGGAAAAAGAAAGGGGAAAGATAGAATACCATCGTTTATTAATAGTGATCTTGTCTTATATTTTGTTAGGGTTATCAGCATATGTATGCACGAATGCATAGATAAACGATACAGGCGAAAAAAAGATCAGTAACAATTAATCATCGATACCGGTAATGCCGCTATGGCTTGATTCCTAGTAGCGTTCTGAATTAATTTCGACGAACGATGATGGCTCGCAATGGGGATGTCATATAGAGAAAAGAAACAACCAAAAACCTATCAATAAGTAAAATAGGAAAAACAAAATCAATTTCTTTAATATCGGAACGGTTAAACGTGTCATAGTCGCTCAGCCATACATATGTGTCATGTATGAACTGGAAAAAAATATATAAGTTTCTTAAGCCGGTTCGATTTCGGGTTTCACCAACGATCAACTTGCTCGTACCGCGCACATACCTCAATGCCTGTCACAAATGATCAACAATGAATCAAGTGGTATGTTGTTAGAGTCCTGTGCCCGTTTGCCTATTAAGGGACCGATTCACTACTACACCCGTTTAAGAAACGAACGCAGGCCACATAGCGCAGCGAATAAAAACTTCCACTGTTGTACGTAGTGCACGCAGTAATTTGTGCTATTTTTCAATGTCGCTTTGGTAAATCCCCTCCCCGTAATAAACCGCTTCTGATTTGGACGAACGGATCACAGTGTTTTCTTGTTGTTGAGTTGATTTCTTAGCGATTCAACAGCACTACTTC